CTATGAATATTTAATCAGGCACATAAAATTATAATTTAAAGAAAACAGTAGTCGTATCTTTTTACTTCTTTCACAATGCCAATTTTAAAACTTAAAACAAAAACCGTAAGGATCTATTATGCCTTGGAATCAGCTTCAGACACAAAATTCTGGCTGGTGCACCTTTACCAATGGTTAACTTAAGCCACTCCATTCTGCTTTCAGAAAGAGTGGCTGTCAGGGTACAACAAATCATAGTCCTAAAATACATGAGTACATTTAAGTAAAAAGGAGGCAAGTCAATTAAGGACAAATGCAAAGTACTCCACTTAGGCAGAGACAATCAGTTGCACACATACAAAATGGGAAATGACAGTCCAGGAAGAAATATTGTGAAAAGGAATCTATGGGTTTTATGGGTCACAAGCTACGCACAAGACAGCAGTATAAAATTAGCCCCCCCCCCAAAGTGAGCATTGTTTTTGGATATGTTAGCAAAATTGTTGTAAGCAAGACATGAGAACTAATTCTTCTCTACTCCCTGTGGATCGTGTCGCTTCCAGAGGACAGATCCGTAGAGGCATCTCTCAGCCTTCCCTGGGCTGCCCGCTGCGAAGGGATCATGTATCCTAGCAGTCAAAGTCTGAGGTGTAATAAGCTCTCCCTGTAAACTCTGGGGCGTCTGTCAGCCTGTTGGCTGCCCACCGCGAAGGGACCCCAGTCCTAGTGGTCAAAGACACGGACTTTAAACTTTTTGGGGTGCCCGTCAGCCTTCCCTAGGCTGCCCGCTGCAATGGGACCTTGTGTCCCAGCAGTTGAAGACTCGGGTGTAACACACACACACACACACACACGGGTGTAACACACACACACGCGTGCGCGCTGCCCTGACCATCGGCTGACACTATTTCAGACATTAATAATAAAAAGAACACCCTGAAAACAATGGAAAAATATTACAGTAAAACTTTCCATGTTTTACGTTTTTATAGTATTAATACAGGTTACTCTCTTAACCGGGACTCTCTGGTTTGGTAACATTCATGGTCTGGAAGGACCACAGATGTTCCAGGACCAGAGCATCCTGATAGAGCAGTAGTGCTGGGAGCCCTGCAGGCTGGCAGATGAGCAGAAGCCGAGTAGCGGAACTTCCCAGCAAGTGGGAGCCCCACACATGGTAATAGGACTACCCAGAAATGCAGCGAGAGTCCAGTGCGCAGAGGGAACAGAGCTGCCTGGTATAGCAGCAGGAGCCCAGCAAGCAGAGGCAATGGTGCTGCTCAGTGTGCCAGAAGAAGCCCAGCCCATAGAGGTGATGGGGCTTCCCGGCAGGGCAGCTGCAGCTTGGAGGGAAGGGGGTGCGCGAGGGGATAGCCAGGAGGCCAGCAGTCAGGCTAGGGCTGGAGGGGCTAGTGGCAGGGGGACCAGAAATGACCTCCCTATGCCCAGCAAAATCTCTCGTTGGGAAGCAGTCAGGTCCCAGGGGTTCCGGACCAGGGATCCAACCTGTATTCAACTAGTCTCACCAATGTTCTTATATTAGTCATATTTTATTTGAAATATTTCTAGAAAAATGCACGTAAATTAGGGATGTCATCAGTTAACTGGTAAGCAACACTGGTGGCCTGGCCAGGCTGGAGAAGCCCCCAGCTGACACAGGCAGGGAGTCTGCTCCATCTCAGCTGGGCTGGAGCACCTTCCAGTGAAATGCATTTTCTTGCAAGTTACTACTAGATAAAGTTCATCTTCATTGTGAGGACCGAGACAAGGAATCTGGTAGTGAAAGAAGTTCCATCCTGCTGTTTGCTAAAATGCAGCTCAATCTGTTCTTTCCTCGCTTCCTTGCAAAGGCATGGCTTTTGACAGGTGATTGCCCATCAGCTTTGACGACACCTAAGTAGAGATGTCAGCTTGTCTTTGAGAAACATTATCTGGTGCACACATACCATTTGGAAGAGAGAGGCAGTGGGTCTCTGTGCATCTGCCTTCCCTGACTCCTGTTGTCTGTTTTTCCCTTCCCTTCAAAGGGTGCACATGCAGATACATGCTTTCCCCAGCAGGCAGCCACTTTGAGTGGCATCTGGGGCCACAGCAGTTAGGGTCGTGGGACATTAGTGACCCAAACCCAAATGTTTGACAGGCTGGATCTGACCTGTGGCCCATATTTTGCCCACCCGTTTTTTCTCATATTTATATCTATATCTATATCTATCTATATATATATATATAGTGTTTCTACGTATGTTTTTCCATGATATTGACCAGCAAATTAGTAGTCTTCAAATGATACCTTACAAGGCATATTTTGTACAAAGATTATTGCAGTGGTTTATAGGGTGTGAATGAAAGGGTACATTCAGTTGCAACCATACATGCGGTATTCCCTGTCCAACGTTTTAAGCTTCCAACACATATCTGTTTCAGGCTCACAGAGTTCAAATGAGAAAGGTTTACTGGCTCAAGACTTGTGTGCAAATCTCAGTTCACCCTTGGAGGACATGTGAGCAAGCCATGGGCATTAGTAGAGGGAGAGGGATTTGTAGATTGTAAAACCTGATGGAGTCACAGTGATTATCTATTTCTCTCTCCTATATGACAGACTGTAGGACTTTACAGAATTAATTCCTATTTGAACTAGAGCATACCTTTGATAAAAATATCTAATTTAATTTAAAAATGGCCAGTGATGGAGAATTTTCCATAAACTTTGGTTAATTACCTTGTGTACCTTGTTACATCTTTGTCTGCTAGAATGAAGAGGCTATTATCAAATATTTGTTCCCAAGATAAGTAGTTTATATAGACTGTGATCCAGTTAGAATCATAGGGTTGGAAGCGACCTCAGGAGGTCATAGAGTCCAACCTGTGCCCAAAGCAAGACGAATCCCAACTGAAGTGAGGACGAATCCCAACTGAAGGAGGCATGTGTATACGGTGGCTCCCCTGGGTCACCGCAGGAGGGAGCAGGCTGTGCAGTTCTAGCCTTCCGAGCCAGAAGCATGGGGAGGGTGGGTGCTGGGGTCAGCAATACTCCGCCTCCAGAATGCCTACACCAGGTGTTTTGAAGACAGACGGATTGTGGGTGTGGCTGTGCCTGGTGGTTCGGGAAGGCAAAGCTTTTTCCCTCCTAGGCTACCAGACAGCTATGCAGTGCTTCAATCATGAGTCGTCCCACCAAATCTCCATTATTTCAGTCAAATCATAGTTCTTTGACTGTTCCAGGATTTATAATTTCTCCTGCTTGTTTCCCAGGCTTCTTGCATTAGTGTACAGACACCTTAAATAACTAGCTGGTTGCCCTACCTTCTCTGTACAAATCAGAGGTTCTCTTCTTTTGCACCTTTCTCACTTTAGCGTTCTCTTTTTTTAAACAAAACAGGTTGAGCTCCTTGAGTCTTTTACTCTAAAGAATATTTTTCAGTCCTTTAGTCATACTTTGGGCTTTTCTCTGAAGCCTCTTCACTTTTATCAAGATCATTCTAGATGTGTGGGCATCAGAACTGGTCACAGTATTCCGGTAGCAGTCATATCATTACTAAATAAAGGGGTAATAGAACCTCTCTACTCCCACGCAGGAATCCCGTTTTTATACATTTAAGGATTACATTGCAAGTGTGTATGGATAGGAGTATTTTCTAATGGATGGATAAATGTGAGTAGTATTGCTGGGGCGGTAACTGGAAGGGAAGCAGAGCTGCTAGACTATCAACTTGTGAAACACAAGAGGTTTGCCTGCTAAGGTAGATGCTCCACGATGATGGGAGATTAGCTTGAACTGTTTGTGCTCCTTTCTCCACTGACACTGACACTTTGCTGACTTGAACTGGGAAAAACGGATGTTCGGTCTTGTTTCTTTTTTTAAAGCCCTTAGAAGTTTAGGACAACTTGGAGCATTACTTAGCTCTGCTGGGAGTACATTTAAGCATTGTTGTATGTGAATGTTCAAGTTGCATTTCAGTTGATTGAGAACAAAGATTATTTTAGTCCTGCAGAATTGTGAGTTTAGATAAGCCTTTAGCGATTCATAAACTGTAAGAGCTATGAGAGTATCACTTCTCTAATATTGGAAAATCAAGATCCAGGAATGGAAATCCAATTAATCCAGTACAGAGAAGAATAAAAATGATATGTTAGTATGTTTACCTCCCCCTCCCCCAAGCAAAGTAGTGCTTCTCAACAAAAACTAGGGATGCTAACTAGCATTTAATTTACTAGTCGAATAGTTGATGGAATGTTCACTGACTAGTCAACTAGTTGATAGGCACTTCTGCGATCTGCCTTTGAAATGTACAAGAGTCCCTGCGAAGGCTCTTTTGCATTTCAAAGTTTGAACGAGGCTTGGCGCTCCGGGCTATCGAGAAGTCCTGCTGACTCCGGGCTTCACGTGGGCGCCTCTGCTTTGAAATGCACAAGAGCCCTACTGGGTCTCTTGTGCATTTCAGGGGTGGAAAAGGGAAATAACTGCATGGAGCCTGGGATCAGCGGGGGACTCGGAGTCCATGCTGCGCTTCCTCTTTGAAATGCCCAAGAGCCCCCACTGGGGACTCTTGTACATTTCAAAGCTGGCAAGCCCACCTGCAGGCCGGAGTCAGCTGGGGAGTCCCCAACTGATCCCAGGCTCCCAAGTGGCATTTCAGAGTGGCAGCACCCCCACTGAGCCCGATGTCAGCCAGGGATTCCCCAGCTGACCCTGGGCTCTGTGTGGCATTTCAAAGAGGCAGCGCCGCTTGGAGCCCTGGATCATTTTATAAATGACACAAAATGTACACACCATAAAGAGATGCCTTGTTGACCAGTATGTTTCAGAGTTCATCTAATAAATAGTTTGGCCCAGAAAAATGGAGCCTAACCCACAATTCCTGTCAAAATAAAACAAATTTTTTTAGTCTGTGCAGTGTATAGTCCTCGAACCAATTTGTATTTACATTTACTAGTATTTTGCATTTCAGTGTAAAAGAATGTCTTTATCTAGTTGCAAAAGAAGAGCATATATAGAAAAAACCTTTTGTGTTTTTATGCAGGGCAAAATCTAGACCGCATGCTCCACGGCACAGGAATGAAAACAAATCCTGACCAGAAGAAACCGGCAAGTGGAGTAACATTGGCTCCAGAGGACACCTTACCTTTTCTACAGTGCTATTGTTCAGGACATTGTCCAGATGATGCTGTTAATAACACATGCATGTAAGTAATGTGTGCAAGATATAGAAATTTGCCAAAGTTTGTTTCTCTCTCTCTGCTATTTATAGTGGCTTTGTCAAACCATCTGATTAGATTTACTTGTTTCTATAGAACCTTTTCCCTGAAAGGATACAAAATTGCTCTCAAAATAGTGTGTGTTTGTGTGATTTATCTCACCACAAAACTGGAACTATTTTGGGAGAGGTAATAACCAGTCCTTTTGTCTCAATAATACTATCTTTAGAGCAAAATTCTAAAAACTGTATCCAATTGAAGTTACAATATGTAATATGTCGTCAAAATGTAAATCTCTCAGTAATATTTAAGGTAAATTTTCTTGTATATAGATACAACATGCTCAGGTTGTCGAATTACACTCTTATTTGATCACTAAAATTAAGTTTTTTCATACTACATATGCATCAGTAGCAGTGATGAAGATAGTTTGGACAGAGAAAAACGCAAGGAGAGACTCTGAATCTGGTCAAAAAGAGTTTGTGAGGAAGAACAGAGAGCCTTTTAACTTTATTAGATGTATGCTCCGTTTTTGCATTGATTACATACCTGGCAAACCAATGAAAATGTTTCAGTAAACAGAATATAAGCATTGAATGTTAATGTTTGATAATAGCGACTGAGATTTTTGTCAAATAAAAGCGATCCTGGAAGGTCCCAGACTACGGGGGGGTTAGGGCCACTGGGCTTTGGGCCACTGGGCTTTTTGTGCATGTTAGGCTGAATAGAAGCAGCCCTAATTTGCACTACAAACATGACCATGAAGGAAATAGCTATAACAGAAATGTTCTTCTGCAAGGAATGTCCCTGTAGGTGCTCCACTTGCAGTGTCTGAGTGCCCATGTACCTGTATCCAGAGATTTGTGGTAGCAGCCTTTTCGAGTGTGCAGCCAACTGTCCCCTCAGTTCCTTCTCTTCCACCTTTGTATTGGTTGGAATAACAGGAGCACCCTCAGAAAACTTATGTCAATTCCTAGTTTTGTCTACCTTTATCCTTTTTGTTAATTTTTACCCCGCAGTGCTCCTTTTTCTTCTGTTCATTAAAATAAGTCTTTCTTCTTTCCCCACTTTGGCTTCTATCTGATGGCCTTTGGCCATCTTGAAACAGAAAGTGTTGAAGACTCACTCGAGATTGATACCTTCCCATCTGCCCATATTTCCTTCTCCTCTCCTGACAACACCATCATGCTGCCCCTCCCACATTGGAGGATGATTTTAAATCATTCTTAAGCACTTCATAAATGTGTCATGGATTCTCTTAGTATTTCCCTGGAGGAGCTCTAAGAGACACATCATACATTAACTAACAACCTCCATGCTTCTGCTGCCAAACTTTCATTACTCATGAATGCTGCTCTCATGGACCCAACTAAAACAGTTTGGCAGACCGCAGCCACAGTTCCTCCTTCTAAATGATCCAGCAAGAAAGAGATAATGAATTTCTATTCACTCTCAGCATTCCAAACTCATTGGTGGTGGGTGGTGTCAGTCAGAGGGAAAAACAGCATACCACCCTCGCTTCTGCTGCCAAACTTTCATTACTCATGAATGCTGCTCTCATGGACCCAACTAAAACAGTTTGGCAGACCGCAGCCACAGTTCCTCCTTCTAAATGATCCAGCAAGAAAGAGATAATGAATTTCTATTCACTCTCAGCATTCCAAACTCATTGGTGGTGGGTGGTGTCAGTCAGAGGGAAAAACAGCATACCACCCTC